ACAGAGAACAGATAAAAAAGAGCTCTTTAAATTTCTAAATATAGTAAGGAAAATATTATCTTATCAGGAGAGAACCAATCGAACATAATTCTAAGAACAAAGAAACATTGTCACTAAAGTGACAGGCGTTACTTACCTTTTTTAAAAATTCGTATCTAAATTGTTAAAACATTGTTTAACCAAAAACTTTGGTTGGATTACAAGTAAGAGGTGCAAGTCAGAAACAAAGTGTATCGGGGAGAAGCATTTCGCATTTGATAATTAATTTTAAAAATCTGCGCATGTCACTTGAGTTAAGAATATCACATCCACACTAAATTCATCGCTACTCGCTATTGCTACTGGCCACGGCCACCACTACGACTACTACTGGCTACGGAATTAAAAATGTTTGAACTCTGCGTCGCTGTGTTGTAGTTGTATGAGTTTACCAACATCAATTCCTGCTGTCTAAGTTAATAGCTACCAGATATAAGCAGGACGTCTGATTAAATTTAAATGAGACAGAATGAATTGACATATTGCAATTCTGAAACATATGCCTTCTCGATTCACAGTGTTCACACGCGTAGTCACGTGTTATTAAATGGCAATCTTTGATTCAATTCTACATGGGTGTATCATTGTATAACATACGTACATACATACCACATTTACTATATACTACACATATGTACAGAAATTAGAGACTGGCACATATACATGATGTATACATCATGTATTCATTGTTTATCTTTGTTTTATGAATTGCGCCAGCAGCGCCACAATTACACATAGTGTGAGTGTGCTATCTGTGAAAGTCTTTTACGCTCCAGTGAGATTTGTCAAGATTTGTGTTCTTTTGTTTGTGTAACTGTGGCTGTGTCGTGGTCGTGTGTCGTGTCGTCTTATATGCATGTAAATGAACTGTTGATATCGTCTAGTTATCGTCTATAAATCGTGTAATTTTATAATAATTTATTAAACATCCCCTGAACGGTACAAAGTAAGATGATATAAGTAACGAATTGGATAAAGAACGGAGGTTAAGAAGCTTTTTGCTGTAACCTACACAACTATTTTTCGTCGGTTAGTTGTTCGTAAATCTAATTGGCCCTATACAATTAAATTAATTAAAACATTACAGTTCTGTTTACGGGTGTTTCTATCTTGCAGTCCCGGTTAGCAGTTCAGACAAATACTGTGATATGGTTCAACAATATCAATCACCTGTGAGGGTGTACAAGCATCCTTTTCCACTCGTGATGATGGTGCGTTTATTGAATACTTCTTTCTATTTCAATAATTATGCGTAGGCAGTATTTTCTGTTTTACGTTAACGTAGATTACTTTATGCAACTCACATCATTTTCGAATTATTGAATTATGCTTTACGCGAAGTGTGTAAGTATTTAGACCCATGACATACATGCATGTATAATACATGGTCGTGTTATGTCGTACATGCATAATGATACACGCACACATACGCACGTTTTGACAAGCTTAATATTATATACTTGTACGATACTATATAGTCAAGGCTGAAGTTAAGTTAATGTTTAAGTGACTGTTGCTATACTGTTACATTTTAAGTACATAATTTTTGTAAATCGAATCTATCAATACAGTACATATGAATCTTAATTAAACCTATTGAAGAAGTATCGAGAAAACATGACACGCGGCGATCGATGATCTACCGATCTATGATATCGTTTAGCGAAAGTAGAACTTCCGAAAATAATTGAGTGATAGCATAAAATATTATCTTGAAGATCTCAATTCTTAACTATCAATCGGCCAACTATTCTGCGATCGAATTAGGTCAGTCGAGAAGGAGGGAAAGCGCCTCACGAAATAAGAAGGTCGAATACTGTATCAGCATGATAATTTTTATTTCGTATTAAGTGCCAAGGGTACATAATTTAACTAAAGATAACAGAAAATAAATGTAACGCGTGACACTAATTTACTTAGTCATAAGATCAGAAGTTTTTGAAGAAAAAAGCTTGTTCCCCATGAAACATGTTTTTTTTTGAGTAATGTATAATCGTCACTTCTTTATCGAGAATGTAAATTGTATTCGTTTAAGTTACGCGTTTAATATTCCATTATTTCAAATCTCACATAATGAAAAACATTCCCTCTTCATTAGCGGTAAATATAATTTTGTTAACTAACTAATGGCGAATACGCATTCGTTCACCTTTGCTAGAATCGTGACACATTATTATATAAATATGTATATCAAATTTGTTAAAAGCCAATCACCGAGCATATCATTTAACTAACATTTCATTGTACTTTCACTTGCTATCATTGATTCTCACTCTCATCACCGATTCAGATTCGAGAGAGCAGACGGCAAATAACAGCAGACAATACCTGAAATCTACTTATCTACCATCCTCGCTAACTATCGTGATTGTGGCACTAGCTTGCAAGCTTCCGAGGCTGCGACAGCTAAATTAGACAACGAAGGATACGTAATATCAGTAAGCAAATACGAATACGAAAGTGTCACAAACAACTGCATGATACAGATTTGAAAATGCATAGTCATAGGAACTATCTTCGCGAACGAGCTTCCTCAAGGACAACGTCGATATAATACTTAAGAAGAGCGACGATGATAAACCGCATTAACTTTACATGGATTGTAATGCCCCGTTATATCTCTGTAACAAGAATTATGTTGATTTACGACTAACGACGATTATATTTAATCCGAAAGATCGTAGCGTTACTAGAATATGATGTTACCCTTTCGATACGAACTTTACATACAATTTAATAGATCAATTTTACCCAAATTTTAGGAACGGATGCTGTGTGAAAATCTTACTGGCTCTTGTGTTTATATAATATATTAGATAAATTGTAAAAACGGGAAGCAAGAACTCTGAACGAAGAGTTAGAACAGCAGCCAGAAATATTCAGATTTCATAAACAGACAGAAAGATAAGAGAATGTACTGTTCAACATAAAAATTGGAAAAGAATTAAAAAATAGAGTTCTTCCTTCCTAGAAATAACAGCGTGTTAAACATTCATATTTAAGTTAATTACTTTAATCATGATTTCTTGTAAATGTCATCTGATAACATTGCAGCAGTAAAACATTATTATTTTATGACACAAATTATAATTTAATTAAATGAGTCACCCCGCCTATTTTATGAATGAATTCCTATTGGTAAACAACTTCGTATTAAAATTCGATTCTTTGTGTTTCCCATTTTTCGGTTCTTGCATGTAGTTTCGTTAAATACCATTTCATCCAGAATGCCGCGTTGACTTTTATAAATTTCATTCTCATTTCATTGTAGGCGTATGAGCGCAGATTTCCTACGTGTCCGCAAATTCCTGTTTTCGTTGGTTGCGAAATAGTATCAGACGAAGAAACGAAAAACGGCGCGGTCAGGATAACGGAGCGGCGATGTAAATTAAATGTCGAAGCTCCATATATTTTGAAAAGGGTATGTTTACGAATAGTTGTTTACAGCTTGTAATAAAGCAAGAAAAAAGTATCGCATGATAGGGATTGATTAAATGTGAGATGATCTATAAATTGAACTTTCGTTATTTATTGCTTCTTCGCTTCCAGATTATTGGGGTAGATTTTGTATACTTTATTCAGAGGAATGTGCTAGATAGACGAAATAGTATTCTAGAAATAGAAGCATACAATGAAAGCTTTTCGTCCAGAGTAACAGTTATTGAAAAATGCAGATATTTTGTAAGTATCTGGCGCTTCCTATAAAACATTCTTTTTTTATAAATCATTTTACTAACATTAACATATGAATTAATAGGTCCATCCTGAAAATGCAGAATGGACGTGCTTCGAGCAAACTGCTAGTTTAGATATTAAAAACTTCTTTGGTTTTGAAAATTCGATGGAGAAATTGGCAATGAAACAATATGCTCAAAACATTGCGAAGGTATCACCTACATTTTTAAATCTTTAAAGACTTAAAAACTTAAAAAATAATGTTACAGGGTAAAGAAATAATTGAATATTTCATATCTGAATTAAAAGACGAAGGTATCATATACGTACCTCCATGGTGTGATACAGATGAAT